GAGCGAAAAAAATTGGAAAATTTTGTTATTTTTTTTTTTGTTAGGAAGAATAAGTGAAGATGGAAATTAGGAAAGACTATAAAAATTGATTGATAATACCCGTTTGAAACAGAAAAAAAAAAGTAATTAGTTTAAAATTAATTAATTTAAATTAAATACGAACAATTTTCCGAACCCTTATCACAATATTGAGAAGAACTAAGTAGAGGGAAACTTATAGATGTATTTACATGTATTGTTTAACTATGATAATACATTAATATGTTTAGTTATTTTTTGGGGGAAAATTTGGGGTTTTTTTATATTTATTTTTTTTGGGGGGGGAGGGAAACAACATTTAGATATTTGTTTAAAATTTTATATGTTTTTCTTTTGTTTAAATACGAATGCAAACGATTATCAACTACGATATTTGTTTTTTTTTTAAATATTTTTTTTATATATATATATGTAATAATTAGAAGAACAATAATAATGATGAAGAAAAATTCGTAACTAACGACGAAAAAACGCGACAAAAATCAATTTTGTTTTCGTGTGTGTTTTGTCAACAATTTCCTGTTTGCTTCGTGTGTTTTTGTATTTTTGTATGTATTATTATGAAATTAATTAGATGTAGTTTTCGTATCGTAAGTGATTGGAATTGAACGTTCAATAAATGTAGAAAAAGCGAAGAGAAAACGGATTTTTATATGTGCGTGATTTAAGTTCAAGATTAAATTTGAAATTTTCAAAAAACAAATTCGTGCGTTTTTTTTTATATTTATGTATATATACTCATTAATGCGTTAATATCAACAAGTTAATCAATGAATACTGTTATATAATCGTTACATGTTTATTATTATTTTTTTCGATTTTATAAGAGAAACGCAGATATAGACACAGAAACATATATATAGGTAGAGAGTGAGAGTGAAAGATTAACTGGAATGCTTTTGTTTTAATTTGCCATCTTGTTTTCGTATCAGCTGTTGTTGTTAACGGCCATCTTTGAACAGCTGTTGTTGTTGTTAACGGCCATCTTTGAACAGCTGTTGTTGTTGTTAACGGCCATCTTTGAACAGTTGTTGTTGTTGTTAACAGCCATCTTTGAACAGCTGTTGTTGTTAACGTCCATATTTGTTTCCGCCATTACTGTTTACCATTCTGCAACGGCCATAGCCATCTTCGCGCGTTTCCATCTCATCTCTTTCGATCCCACCACATTCCTCTCTCGCCAACTATTCCATTTATTTATGTACACGTTACAAAAACTAATAGTTTCAAAAATAGATTATTATTATTATTTACGTTACGTTCCTTCTTTTTGTCCCTGTTTCTTTCATTCTTCCCATCCATTTCTCTAAAATATATATATATAATTTTTTTTTGTTTTCTTTACACGTTCGAATTTCAACTCTGTTTTTTTTTAACGTTAAATTTAACTTTCTGCACTGCTACCAACGACGACGATAATTATAATAATGATAAAATAATAATAATAAAATTTGACTTAATCATAGTAGTAATAATAATTATTAAATAATACGTGTTTTTTTTTGTTTGTTTTCTTCTTGGACGCATCTTGTAGATGCGCGCACACTTGTAAACCCATTTCACCGAAAAATTGATATTTTGTTTGCTTTTTTTTTGTTGTTGGTTGCAATTATTTTTTTTGGTTTTTTTTAAGGTTAATTTGACTACGTCGCGATGTGGTCTATGGTGTCCTTGTAGAGGAGTGTTTCCTCGAATATCAACCTCTTCAGCTCTTCCTTGGGGAGATCGTCGAGTTCGGTGTTGAAGCGGAACGGCGTCTCAGCTACGGGCTGCGAAAAAACAGATGGCGCATCGATCGTTTAGACGTTTTTCTCTCGTTTAATTGCAATTTTTGTTTCGTTTACCTCGTCTGCTGGATCGTAGTACTGCTCCAAGTACGGATGAGCGAGAGCGTCCTCGACGCCGATCCTCCGGTGCGGATTGAAAGTTAACATTTTGTCCAGAAGGTCGAGCGCATTGGAATCGGCGTTCGGGAACAGTTTGCACCACGGAACTTTTGGTTTGAACGGTAGCGACTGGAGGTAACTTCTTGCCTGAGACAAAGAAACAGAAAAAATAAAAATTTGTTGAAAACTATTGTTATTGTCTTACTTTTTCGTTAATGATGCAATCCAGGTCCTCCTGCGACGGAGACCCGAGTACGCCGAGGATGTGGTTGAGCTGATCGAGGTAATGCTTCCCCGGGAATATCGGCCTGTTGGATAACATTTCGGCGAGGATGCAACCCACCGACCATATATCGATTGATTTTGTATAACCCTGAAACAGAAAACAACATTTTTTTTTCTACAAATTCAACATAAATGTAGTTTGTATACTGTGTTAATAATATATATTATGCAAGTGTTTCCCAAGCCAATAATATAAAAAAATTGACACATAATGACAGCTGTCACTTTGACGTAAGGTGACAGCTGTCATTAAGTGCACTATATACTATGTAGTGCGTGGGAATTAAGCAATATGAAATATGTACACACATCCGCACTATATAACTTGAATATATTGAAATGCAATATATTTGGATGCGAAACAGTAATTAGTTGTTGAAATTGCGGAAATTTCAATATGTTTACACGCGATGGAAACAAATTTGCTCGACTCGTGCATGAAATGCAAAATTCAACCGGGAGGGATGAATCGAGTAGCATTTCCGCCGGAAGCGGAAACATTAAACGCCATTATTGCTGCACTGCACCGTTTGTTTGTTTGTTTATTCAATTTTTTTGTTATTACGTTACGTTACGAACAAAAAAAAACAAACAAAAACTTTTCCGTAACTTAATGGGTTTTCCAATCCATACGCGGATACTGCAGCGATATCTAACGGAAAATTCATGAAATAACAAACGAAAATTCAATCGATTTTGGGAATTGTTTACTTGAATGGAAAATTTGAGCTGAAAAATGTTGAGAACGTAACGTAACGTAAGATCGATTAAGATTAAATTGTTTTTTTTTTGTCATTTTATGAGGTGATCTTTAACATAATTCAGTTAATGCACATTTTAGTTTGGAAGATTGTGTAGAAAATGTTGTAAATTGGGGAAAGAAAAGTGAACTTACTTTGGAATTTAACATGATTTCTGGAGCCCTGTACCATCTCGTCGCCACGTATTCGGTGAGGAATCCGGTGTGATCGTGCTCTGGATCCGCGACCCGCGCCAATCCGAAGTCACAAATCTGCAAAGAAAACAAAAGAAAATGTTACGTGAAAACGTAAAGAAAACTTATGTAAACTTAAGTAATATTAAGGATATAATAATAAAAAGCGATGTTAACGTAAAACATGAAAAAATCTGTAAGGATGAAGTATTTTCATACATTATGTAGTAAATTAGTGTCGTATACAGAAGGAAGTGAGTGAACTCCTCGTGTTTCTGTCTGTTTTTTACGACCAGATGGGGCCAAAATGATGTTAAACTTTCTCCTTTGCTGACACGACAAAAGCACTTTCATCATCATCATCATCACATTTCTTTTTGTTGTCATCTCGAGAACTTCTCGCTTCTTCTAATTGTGATTAATATTTCTCGCAATTAGCTCGACAGGATGTAATTTGAGTGGTAATTTAAGTTTTGTACAGGCGAAGAACGAAAATGAGAAAGCAAAAAAAAAAACTTAATTAAATTACTTTCTTTGCGCAAAGGATTTATTATGTCGTTGGCTGTGATTAAGTTGTACGAGGAAAAATAGAGGATGCGTTTGTTACGGAACGTAACCAAAATTAACTGTCAATTTGACGGATAGTCACGTGACGTAACCTACATTAGCTGTCAAATAAGATGATTCGATTGTTTCAGAACGAAGACTGAAATAGATGTGAATTTGACAGTTTTTCAAACGTAGAATAAAAATGACGTTGTTTCAATTATTCTAGAAAGTAACCTAAATTATAAAGTTCCTCAAAAAGATGTTCTATTGTTACCAAGGTAACCAAAGTTAGTTGTCAATTTGACAGCGATAACATAATGTAACCTACATTATCTGTCAAGTTGACAAGTTTATAAGAAGATTCGTTTGTTTCAGAACGTAACCTGAAATATATGTGAAGATGTAAATTTGACAGTTGTGCAAAGATAGAATAAAAATAATGTTGATTCGATTGTTGTGGAAAGTAACCTAAATTATAAAGTTACTCAAAAATATGTTCTATTTTTACCAACGTAACCAAAGTTAGTTGTCAATTTGACAGCGATAACATAATGTAACCTACATTGTCTGTCAAGTTGACAAGTTCATAAGAAGATTCGTTTGTTTCAGAACATAACCTGAAATAGATGTGAAGATGTGAATTTGACAGTTGTGCAAAGGTAGAATAAAAATGACATCGATTCGATTGTTTTAGAAAGTAAACTAAATTATAAAATTCCTCAAAAATATGTTCTAATTGTTACACGATTTATTACATCGTGATGCATTGCTCAAAAACAAAAGAAAAATTGACGCATTAGATGATTCGTTTTTTTTCCACGTAACATAACCAAAATTAGATGTCAATTTGACAGCTTATCACGTAACGTAAAACATTGACTGCCAATTTGACAAGTTCGTAAGATGCGACAAAATGTGAATTTGACAGAAGCGCAAACATGCGAAAACTGACGTTGTTTTAGAAAGTAACCTAAATTATAATGTTACTAAATATAACCAAAATTAGTTGTCAATTTGACAGATGAAATAATAATTACGAAATCGATTCGTGTTACAAATATATGTAAAGAAAAAGGTGGACACGCCGGGTTACTCAAAATTTGACTTGAAGATTTCACCAGATTTGTCAGTTGTCATCTTTGTCAGTTCGATAATTGAGCATTTTTTGTTGTCATTTTGGTAAACTTGAAATTTGAAAATTGCATTTTCTCTTTGCATAAAATGGAAAATTTTGTCTTACCTTGAGATCGCACGTCGTGTTCAGCAGGAGATTGCTGGGCTTCAGATCCCTGTGAAGTACGTTCGCAGAATGGATGTACTTCAATCCGCGGAGGATTTGGTACAGGAAATAGCATATGTGATCGTTACTTAATCGCTGCAAAAAGAGAAGAAAAAAACACACGTAAATCAAATAAATTTTCAATTTTTTTTTTGTCGAATGCTTAATTAATTGATACGTATTACGTAAACAACATGCATATGCATACGGTGGAATAAATTGCGTTCGTTTCGAAATTAATTATTCGCCTATTGTGGTTTGTCCGCAACGTTTCGTTGTGAATAATTAACGAACCGAAGTCATCATCAACCAGCAACAATCAAATTAAGCTCGACTTTGCGACGCGCACGTGCAGCGTTTATTAATTAATTAATTAATTTGTTCGAGCTTCATTTTATTACCAACTGATCAAAACAAAAAGCTAGGGGAATTTATTGTATGTCTGTTGGTTTACGTCAATTATATAATTGACAGTTTACAGATTATTATGCAACCAAATCTACATGATAATAATTATTTTTTTAAATCAAAAGTTTGACATCTTGTTGTAAATGATTTTCAAATAACACACAAATCGTAGTGGACTCATTGGAAACGTCAAAGTTTTGTCTTTAATATTCGATTTGAATGATGTATTTGAATGCGATTTGAATGGTTATATCACCAACTGATAAAATACTAGGGGAATTTATTGTATGTCATTTGGTTTACGTCAATTATATAATTGACAGTTTACAGATTATTATGCAACCAAATCTACATGATAATAATTATTTTTTTAAATCAAAAGTTTGACATCTTATTGTAAATGATTTTCAAATAACACAAAAATCGTAGTAGACTCATTGGAAATGTCAAAGTTTTATCTTCAACATGCGATTTGAATGATGTAATTAGAATGCGCGGTTGTTTCACATGTTATTATATTACCAACTGATAAAATACTAGGGGAATTTATTGTATGTCGGTTGGTTTACGTCACTTCTATAATTGACAATTTAGAGATTATTATGCAACCAAATCTACGTGATAATTATTTTTTTCAAATAAAAAGTTTGACAACTTATTGTAAATGATTGGTAAATAACACACAAATGGTAGTGGATTTATTGGAAACGACAAAGTTTTATCTTCAACATGCGATTTGAATGATGTAATTAGAATGCGCGGTTGTTTCCCGTGTTATTATATTACCAACTGATAAAATACTAGGGGAATTTATTGTATGTTGGTTGGTTTACGTCAATTATATAATTGACAATTTACAGATTATTATGCAACCAAACCTACGTGATAATTATTATTTTTCAAATAAAAGTTTTTACAGCTTATTGTAAATGATTGGTGAATATCACAAAAATCGTAGTAGACTCATTGGAAACGTCAAAGTTTTGTCTTTAACATGCGATTTGAATGATGTAATTAGAATACGCGGTTGTCGAGTAATTACGTAAAACGTAAAGACTTTAAAATTAATACAAAAAACGATATAACACAATAATGAATTATCATAAAGTAATAATTATTATATGAAAAGTTGCGCAATAAAAAACCGCTTCTGGTGTAATAATAAAATATGTAAAAAGTCTTATAGTTTTTAAATTATTTGGAGAAAAAAGCAATGATTTTCCTTACCTGAGTTTTAAGTAATTTATATAGATCCGTTTCCATCAGACACTGGACAATGTAAACGTCTCGCATTTGACCGATGGTGACGGCCCTCAGGATATCTCGGATATCTATAATCTACAACAACAACAAAAAAAAATATTTCTAAGTAATCTTATAATAAAACTTTGTGTAAGTAATTAATCCGAATGAACTCGTATCGACTTCAGAATATTATACGACTTCTCTCCGCTTTGCTTTTATTTACGTTTCCAACAGCAACGGTAAAAACAATATTTTATTCATAACATCCCCATGGAAACATAGCAATTTTAAAGCCTGTTTCCAAGAGACGAGGTAGTTTCACAGCTCTTTGCACATACAAAAGAAAAAAGAGATAAAAAAAACGGTAAAAAGGAGACTAATTCCAACTAATTTCAGACGGTCTCGCGAGACTGAACGAAACGGGAGAGCGATGTTTTACATCCACTTTGCGGATTTAATTAAATCTTCGGCATCCGGAGAACCCTTTGAAACCTCCGGTGAAATAAAAGGTTTTGCTTTACTCTTTTAGTTTTGTTTGATTGTTGAATTTCATAAATTTTCGATCGGTTCGTCTCGTCTTTCTTGAATATTCTTTCGTTCGTAGAGAGAAAGAGACAAAAATAAACTCATTAAGAAGTTTTCAGTTTAGAAAGTCGCGCGAAACATTGCGAAGAATCTGCAAACGCCCTATATTTTCATCGCTTCGTCTCGTTGCAAATTTGCTAAATTTAATTAGGAATTTGGGTAAATTGTTCGAGTTTTATTCACGTGATGAGAATATGAAGTGTTGTGTCCAATATATATTAGTTTTAGTGACAAAGAAAAGAGTAATAAACAAAAAAAAAGGTGTTGTGTCCCATGATGTATAATTTGGGAGGTGTTGTGTGACTTACGTTTTCGTGCTTGAATCTGGTTAGAATTTTGATTTCTCGCAGCGTCCTCTGACAGTAAGTCTGATGCTCGAACGGCGAGATCTTCTTGATGGCGACCTTCGTCTTCGTCACCGTATCGTAGGCAGACCTGAAAAAAAAAACAATTGAAAACATTAATATATAATATCCATGGCAACGACAGCTAAATAGTTTGTCATTAATTTTGTTTTGTTTGCGAAATCATGAATAGCAATGAACGGCGGCGGTCCCATTAATCTTCCGACTCGTACGAAAGCGTTTAGATTAATTAATTTTTGGCGGAGGACGATGACGAAGATCCTTCCTTCCTTCCATCCACCGCATCGATCCGCTTCGTCGGTTTTGCCCACGAACACAAAGGACCATCCGCAATAATTAATGCAGGAAATTAATGGAGCCGAGGAGGAGTCGAAGGTCTTCTGCTCGCCCACGATTTTGATAGGTATCACCGCCAGATGGCGTCGATTAATTAACCGCGATTGCGTTTGTTATGTAACGCTCTTCATTGTCTCGAATGTCACCGACATAATCGTAAGTTTAAGATTTTACTTGTCATGGTAACAATAAACAAATTTAAAGTTGAGTAGTCATGGTAACAAAATATTTAACAAGGTGAATTTGAAAGTTTTCAATTTTAATGGAGGTTAATTAACGGAGGCGACAGGTTTGCCAACAACGCAACAAAAAAAAACGAATTAACGATGATGAAAACCTCGAACAATCCGTGTATGCTGCTGCTGCTGACTGCACACTCTGTGCACATTTACTAAACGCGTCGACGGCTTTACGTATATTTAATTTGCTAATCGGTTTCCGAGGCGCTTTCGGTAATTACAGTTTCGAATTGGTTTGCCGAGAAAGTGTCGTTTCCCCGCAAATAAACGAGGATGTGCAATTAGCGAGAGCTGCGCAAAACGGATTTTAGCACGAATAAACACGGAAATTCAATTAGAAATTGTTTGGAAATCGATAGATTTAATAACGAGTTGCGTTTAGAAGAAGAAAAAAAAAAGGGAGGTGTTGTGTCCAATCTTAAATAATGTTGAAGTTATGCAACAGCCGAAACAACGTTCCACTTGTAGCGCCCCCTGGGAACGCAACAACAAAGCCGTTGGAGTGTGTACCAACTGCAAAATGTAAATAAATGTGTGTACATACAAATTTATTCGAGCAAGGAGGGACGCAAATGCTCAATGCAAATTAGTTACCGAACAAAAGCGATGCGAGCGACTTCCAAACAAGTCTACGTCGTTTCTCTTCCCATTACGCTCCGCTCTCTAGGGAGGGTTGCATAAATACAGAATAATTACGTGCGCGGATGGAAGAAAACGATGAAACAATTGTTTACGCAAACTCGTAACATGTTTCGGTTTTATTAAATTTCTTTTGAATCGTTAGAAATTTTCGTATTAAATACGTAATTTAATTGTGTGTTCGCACTAATTGATTCGAAAAATGGGAGGTGTTGTGGTAAAATATTCAAATTTTGTTAATTAATTGAAATTGAAAGAAAAAGGCAGATGTTATTGTAAAATATGCAAAAGTTTGCTTATTGAATTCAGTTCAATTATTCACATTTCGTTTATTAATTATATTATGTACTTTTTTTTATTGAAATATTAGTTGAAAAAAAAGGAGGTGTTGTGGTAAAATGTTCGAAATTTGCATATCAATTATGTAAAGTAATCTTATTTATTTGAACATTAATTCAAATTGGAGGTGTTTTGGTAAAATTTTGTTAATTAATTGAAATTGAAAGAAAAAGGCAGATGTTATGGTAAAATACGTAAAAATTTGCTTATTGAATTCAGTTCAATTATTCACATTTCGTTTATTAATTATATAATGTACTTTTTTTTATTGAAATATTAGTTGTAAAAAAAGGAGGTGTTGTGGTAAAATGTTCGAAATTTGCATATCAATTATGTAAAATAATCTTATTTATTTGAACATGAATTCAAATTGGAGGTGTTGTGGTAAAATATTCAAATTTTGTTAATTAATTGAAATTGAAAAAAAAAAGGCAGATATTATGGTAAAATATGCAAAAGTTTGCTTATTGAATTCAGTTCAATTATTCACATTTCGTTTATTAATTATATAATGTACTTTTTTTTATTGAAATATTAGTTGAAAAAAAAGGAGGTGTTGTAGTAAAATGTTCGAAATTTTCATATCAAATTATGTAAAGTAATCTTATTTATTTAAACATTAATTCAAATTGGAGGTGTTGTGGTAAAATATTCAAATTTTGTTAATTAATTGAAATTGAAAAAAAATGGCAATGTTATGGTAAAATATGCAAAACTTATTGAATTCAGTTCAATTATTCACATTTCGTTTATTAATTATATAATGTACTTGTTTTATTGAAATATTAGTTGAAAAAAAAAGGAGGTGTTGTGGTAAATTATTCAAAATTTGTTTGTAAAACAATCCAATTGTAAAAAGGGAGGTGTAGTGTTAATTAATTAATTTAATACAAGTTTTGTGGTGAACACTAACTAATGGACGGAAAGTGTTTAAGGAAAACTTCCTTCGTAATTACATATCTCGAAACTTGTCGAAATTGCTATCATCTACGACAATGAGGGTAATTTTTTGTGCGTCTAACAGTTTCACCAACTCGAGACGAAGAAACTTTGGCGAAGTCTAATCTCCTGAACTTACGTTCATAATCTTCTCGT